CCATTTTCTTCTATTCGTTGCTTTCCATTTGGCCTGCAAATCGTCTTCTTCAGCTGCACTCAAACAAAAGCCACTCAACCGCTACTTATTTTCAAAACCCATATCAGCGAGCTCGCTTCCAACTCACTGAATCGACTCTCATCTAGGTCATCTTCTTTCTCTTATCTTGCTTCCGTGGTTCCTTAAACTCAATCCTCAACCATCCAAACATATCTCTCCCCCTTATTTCGTATTAGTAGAACCCAAAATTAAATCCCCAAATTCTTTCCCTTTCTTAAATTCCGCAGCATTCTCACCTACATCTGAATTTGGGGAAATTTGGGTAAATTTCAATTTCTGCAATTATTTCAATTTTTTTGCATTTCCATTTTAAATTTAGAATTTTTTTTCCTGAGGGTTTGAATCGGTTGTTGTAATGATTTGAATTAGGGTAAAATGAGTGATGTGATCTCAACGGTGGCTGATGCTCCGGCGACAGACGCAAAGGGCAGCTCCGATGCTGCTCGGATTGCAGAGGTGAAGGCGTGGCTTGCTTCTCAGTTTGATGCTGCCGGAAAAGATGTCCCGGATTTTGAATACACGCATCGGAGTGTCGCTCATCTCTACAATCTGGCCACCGTTTCCCAAGCCAAGACTCAGGCTGCCAACATTGTCGCCAATGATTTCCGTCAGAAGGCTGCGGAGTATCGATCTCAAGGTACTGTTAGGGTTTCTTTGCGCTTCATTTCTGTTTCTGTTTCTGTTTCGTCAGAACCAACCAATGTTTTGTGGGTTTGGGGATTATGTATGTGGGTGTATGATTTTTACCCTGTCTCCTTTTGCTTTCCCCTGAACTGATTCCTTTTTCGGTTTTTGGTTCTCAACCAAAAATGCTTTGCAATTATTTGGCTGTAGCTGCCAGGATACGAGAGATATTGGAGAACGTAGGATTGGCACAGGAGACTTTGCCATCAAATGTGGTTTCATCAGCTCAAGTTCTCGCAAATGTAGCGAATTTGTTGAATATTAGAGACACTGAGCTCAGTAGGTGTGTTATCTTATCACCCGACTCTCTCATACTTATTCAATGATTTCTGAATTCAGAATTTAACCAGGAGGAAATGAATTTAGTTTTCTTGTAGCAATGGGTGATATATCATTGAGAAAAACTGGAGTAGAGGAGAAGAGGGCCAAAGTACAAAAAGAGTCCAAAATTCTTCTCGATTATACTCGGAAGGCAATTCAAAGGCTAACCTATTTAAAAAGGTAAAATTTTAAGTTGACGTTTAAGTATTTTAGATGGCATTGTAATGTAAGCTAAAAACTTACTATACTTTTTATTCAATTTAGTGGTGCTGGACAGGAACTCTGGCTTTTATGATTAGCTGCTCGGGTAGTTAGGTTTTTTTGACGACATTTGTTCTGTTCTGTTAATTTGAAAAGTTTGGTTTTCAATTTCTAAATAAAGTGTATTTAAAATTCAAAAATCTTTGATGCTTTTCAAAGAGTGGGAGAATTTATGTCTATTTGTTCTTTTATGAAGGGTGCTACACGATTTCAGTTTCTTTCGAAAATTTTTGAAACATGATTGTTTGCTTAACAAAATTTTCAAGTTTCTGAAAGTGTTGATAAAAATCTGAAACAGAAAAGTTTTACCAGGCTTTATTTTTTGGTTACCAAACATTTTGAAATGGAAACAAGGATAAGAAACAAAATAATGAATCATGCTGTTAATCTTCTTTTCACATTTTACGTCTACTTTTGTAGGACTCTGGCACAGCTGGAGGATGATGTAGCTCCTTGTGAGGCTCAAATGGAAAATTGGAAAACAAACTTGGCAGTTATGGCATCCAAGGAGCGACAATATCTGCAACAATATAACAACTATAAAGTATGTTACCCTTCCTTTCGTTGTTCATACTTTGAATTATCATTTCCTGGAAAAAACTAAGCTCAAAAGTCAAAAACAAGTTATAGAAACTTAGCATGTCCTTGCCATTTTGTGGTCTAGGGAAAAGAAAGTGGAGAAGTAAAATATGAGTATGTGTCAAAGAAGTTGAAAAAGAAAAAGCAATTCAATGGTCCATACAATTGTTGTTTCACATGAAGAAAAAATTGATGTATGGAATAGAGACATTTGAAATGATTTATGTCTTTTCATTTTGGACTTACAGTTCTAACATTTTGACATAATATGTTTTGTGTTTGTAAACAAATTAGTGGACACGACACCAAAAGGGATCAAGTGAAAGTTTTGTAACCCTGAAATGTACAATGTTATTTATTTCACTCAATACCAAATTGGGGTCAAATGTAGTTAACTCTTCAACAATATGAAAGGATTTCACAAGTTCAGGTCCTATATCTTGATTTATTGATTCTCTGATATAGGACATAAGAAATTATGTCAAGGATTTCTTAACTTCTGTTATTAAGAAATGCTATCCACATTCCACAGGCCTGCCACTGAGTACTTTGACAGCTATAAGAAAACGTAGAACTAATTTTTCAGTATTATGAAAAGAGTTCTCATGGATGACTCACTCCTCTAATATGCTAGAGCTGTAGCTTGAGGTATTTCATGAAATAACCAGTTCAAATGTGAATCCAAAATATGGTATTTTCTGGCTTCATTTGATTCAGTCAGATGGTTTCTCTTTTGTTCCCCTTTTGTGTTTTTCTCATTTCTGTATGTTGCCCCAGGGGAGGGGTAAAACAGAGTAAACAAAGAAAAGATGCATGTTTGTCCTCAGGAATTCAGATCACACATTTTTTTAAACAAATAATCTCTATAGTTGAAACAATGACACTTTTGCTATCGTCATTTTTTTTTTATTAATATTATTATTTTTTATTTTTTTAAATCTGATAGCAGGCAATTAGCTGGTGAAAGATAATTATAATCTCATCTAACTTCTTTTATTCATGTATTTTTCTTAACATTTCTTATGCTAAAAACTTCTGGGGACAGGCATTACTTAATCGTGTTGGCTACACCCCTGAGATTAACCACGGGGTATTAGTTGAAATGGCTGAGCATAGGAAGGACTTGGAGAAGAAGACAAAGCCTATCCTGGATACTTTGAGGAGCTACCAAGACTTACCTCCGGTCAGTTTTTTGTTAGAAGTCACCATGATTTGTGCTATAGGGTTCTTATTGTTCTACAAGAATATGATTTCTACTCCTACTATGTATTTGCCTTTTGCCGTATCTGTTACTGTTACTTTATAACATGACACCCATCTGCCATTGGTGAAGGCATGCTAG